CACTCACCGTTCTGCAGCGCTTGTGTCCAGCGGCGGAGCTGGCTGCAGAGGAAAGGCTGAGTCATTTCCACGGGATGTTTCACGGAGGAGCTAAGTGATGCGGGACTTGGGTCTGAACAGCTATGTTTCCTGGTGAATAGTAATTCTGTTTACTTAGAAGAGAGAAAAAAAAAAAAAAAGAAAAAAAAAAAACCACAACACTGGGGGCCTCAGTGCTGCTGTGTCATACCCGGCTGGATGAAGCCTTGTTTATCTCAAGCTGGGAAGAGAGAGAAGTGATTCTGGTGACACTTTTCAGAAAATAATTCTCTACTTTTGGGGAGTGTAGGCAGTGGAAATAGTCCATAGGTGTGACTCCTGAAGCTTTTTTATTCTGCTTGTTCTGTAACAGCAGTAGCATGTTACCCTAGCAAGAGCAAAAGAGCCCCGGAGGGACTCCTGACATCCCATGCCAGGCTGAATTTTTTTCTTTTGTCACACCAAAGCCACTTCAGTCTTGTAAAGGAGTGGTGTGGGCTTTATGCTGGGCTGAGTGAGGTCTGGAGCTGGCTTGTGATTTTTCTTCTGCTGATTTTCATGCAACATTTGTTTTACCCAACATCTACCTGTTTATATAGGTCCTCCTATAAATCGTTTGGTACTTGTAAAGGGGAAGAAGAAATAAGTGAATGTGCCGCTTAGTCTGAGGATGGGATATTTTGACCCAAAGTGCTGGCAGTAAGTTCCTGTTTTATGGCAACATCTCATGAGAATTGTTAATGCTTCTACAGGGCACAGAGAAGTCCCTTGATGAGTCACAGGTTGGGTTCATGTGCCAATCACTGGTGCACTTGTACAGGCAGATGGAAAGTGCCCATCTCTCCTCCACCCGTTCCCTTCTCTCAGCACTGCTGCACTGGTACTGCTCTGCGCCCCATCGCATCTGGTGACATTCATGTGCTGAAACAGCAGTGGGGGGGAAGGAGTTCCTCTGCTCACAGGCTGCAAAGCTGCCACGACTTGTCAAAACTTGCAGCTTGTTTCACAACAGTGAGGTCTGGGGCTGGCTTGGATTTTTCTTCTGCTCTCGATTTTTGTGCAGTGTTTGTTTTGCCCAGTGTCTATGTGTTTATATAGGACCTACTAGATATCTTTTGCACTTGGGATAGATTCAAACTCATGGGAAAGAGCAGTGGTCTGGGACCTGCTACAGCTCAAATGTTTCAAGGAAGAGGGAGCAAAAACCAGAAGTTTTGTACTTTTCTGTAATTTGGTGTAACAGCCAGTGGTTCTTGCCCGCAGTTTGGGACAACAATGAGGATTTGATGCCTTTTCTTGCAGGAGCCAGGCAGCGAGGGCAACATGATTTGTGTTGATTGAAAATCATGTTCTGCATTAATCAAAGAGCCAGTCCTGGTTTGGGGGGTTGTGGTACCAAATTGCAGGCTTTACTTTTGCCCAATCCAGGCGACTTCTGGAGCTTCAAGTACATTTTAATGATCAGAATTGTGGAATTAATCATCAGCATAAACTCAACAGATAAATGGGAGGAAAAAATATAAATCAAAAATGGGTAAGATCTTTGTCTATTTCAAAACAGTGCCATTGCTGCTGGGTCTGATCCCAGCTCCAGGTAGCTCATGGTGCTGTCTCTGACAGTAACTACACAAGTCTGTCCCATGCTGATATCTTAAGAGGTGCTTAATTCTTGTTTGAAATGGAGCTGGCAATTTACTCTTTAGCTTAAGTGTTCCCTGTTAAAATAGTCACACAGAAAGAAAGAAGATGTATGTTCAGGGAGTACTGTTGTCTTCTACATTCAAAAAGTTACTTGGAATGTTATGTTATTTTATTTTACCTTTTAAGCATTTTCAAACAAAATAAAACTGTTCCTTGAGATTTGTATAGCTGTAACACTGAAGTAGTCCAAAGACTGGTCCTATACCAAAGACATTTTCCCAACAAGATCTTAATTTTCATGTGCCATTTATAGTAAATGAAGACATGTTTGTAGGAGTACCAATAGATGGAGAGGTGGATCATGCAAAAAAACTGGAGGACTGTTTTTTGAAACTTAAATCTGATTATGCATATATGCTATTTTTATTCTTCTCTTTAGTTATCTGTCAAGGAACATTTGTGCAAATGAATTTTCTTTATGGATTTCAAGCATGCAGGCTGGAATGCTGGCAGAAAGATATCCTAAATACTGCTTTTATACACCACTTTTCACCAGGAGTTTCAAGGTTAGCCAAATTCTGAGTTCTGGTTAGTCATAATGAAAATGAAATGTCATCTGACCTATAGGACAGATCACAAAGAGGCAGCTTCACTTTGATCTGAAGATCAAACACTGCTTTCCAAACTAGGAATATTTATAAAGTAGTGGGCAAGTCTCAGGAAAAACAAGTCTCACTTGTGACTATATTGGAATTGAAAAGATGGCGAAATTCATAGTACGTTACCGGTGAGTTGAGTAGGATGGGTTATTACTAATAATATCCAACTGGTTGTCTCTTGAGTTGGATTTCACATGTCTTCTGTGGACTGACAGATGAGGGTGGTGGTGGAGGAACTTGTGAATTGCAGTTATTTTTACCCTACTGTTTAACCCAGATAAGAAATGAGGAGTATTTATTTAATATGAATACATGGATGCCATAAAGTGCCTGATAAACAAAGGTGTGTGTGTGTATGCACCTATAGCTGTATACATACATAATTCTTGCAGAAAAGAGGTATTGTAGATGGGTATGTGGGGCTGCCAAATTCAATATACCATGCCAGCTGTTGAGGTCTCAGGCTTTGGTGACACCCATTGTGCTTTCAGTCAGACATCATCTTAAAATCATCATCTTGTGCATTATGGGCATTTCTGTTACTGAGGCCTGGCCACGCAACGTGTTTTATGGGGGAAGGAGTTGCCAGCTGGAAGAAATGGATTTGGACCCGTTGTGAACTGTTTCTAGTCCAGGGAAGGACTGTAATGTTTGTAGAGGTATCGTGAACTGCTTTTGAATTGAGCTCTTTGAAGTGAAGATACTGAGTGGCACGATTGCCACTGTGCTTGCCTGGGAGCATTGTGCAGCCCCAGGGAGGGAGAGGAGAGGCTGTGCCAAGGGTGTGTGGAGGGGAGGAAGAAGAGGCAGGAATCCTGCAGGCAGGTATGATGGGAAGACAGGCTGAGTCTGAAAGCACATCAGAAATCTGGTGCTGTCACACCAACCACCTGCACAGGTTCTGTCTCGATAGCCCCAGGTGAGCCCTGGGGCTGGCCCAGGGCATGCAGGATGTAGATCCTGGGCTTGGATGACTGATGCCTGTTGCCATCAAGGTCCTCACTGAGCTCAGCTCCTGCAAGGACCCAGCCTACAACCTCCCGGCTCCTGCTCACTGGACATCCCACCCTGCCCCAGCGCCTGCAAGTGCCTGTGAATCCCCTCTGCCTGGGGGATAAAATCCTTCTGTAGTTGTTTGCCTTTAGGGTTGCAAATCTCTGTTTTGTTTCCAACCTGAATTGGATTTATTTTTGGCTCCAGCTGTTGAAAACATGCTGAAAATTGAGGGGTGGGTTGCAAAGGGACCCCCAGGACCTCCTGCTTCCTATGTCCTGGGGAATGGATGTGGGCAGTATTTCGCACCCGCTGTGCAGGGCATTGGCCACGGTGCAGTGCCAGGCTCTGGCACGAAGCTCTGCTCCCCGCATCCTGGCACCAATCCTTCCCCCTGCCCTGGCACCCCCACAGCCTGGCCCCCCACTTAGCTGGGGCTGAATAAACCCAGCTGACATGAGAGCCTGGCCTCAGGGGACACAGAGGCACCATGGGGGGACAAAGGGAAGAGGGAGAACTTGGCAATGACAAGGGATTCTCTGGGGATTTCCTAGTCTCTGCTAGAAAACTGGAGCTGAGAGCAGGTGTGGGGGGGAAGGAAAGGCAAGAGAGGTAAAAAGCCTCCAGTGAATCAGTGAGGCAGAGAGGGACCTTCCTACAAGGGTGAGGGAAAGTGTGTGTGGGGGGAGCTACAGCTGGAGCCCCCCTGCCTGTCCCCCTGAACCCCCTTCCTGCCGCTGGCCAGGTGCCCTCACTCTGCTGCCAAAAACCTGGTGGCAGCTATTTGCTCATCGCAGTCACGTCTGTTTGGGTGTCTGCACCTCCCCAGGAGGCAGCTCTGTCAAAAGCAGGTCCCCACAGCCCATGGGGCTGGCAAGGGTGGGCAGCTGGGGTGCACCAGCTCCCACTGCCCACCCTGAGCCCCTGCTCCTCACTGCCTGCACCCCGGGGGTCTCTCCCCAACTCTCCGCACAAAGAACCACCGGGCAGGTCTCCTGCTCGCTGCCTTGCCTGGGAGAGGAGGAGGAGGAAAAGGAGGAGGAGGAGGAGGAGGGGGGGGTGGTGATAAGGGGCTTGCTGCGTTGTCTCATTTCTGTACCCAGCGCACAGCTCATGGGGTGTGTGCGAGTGCGCACACCCGCTGCCTGGGGACTGCTGCTCCTGCTGCTGCTGCTCCTGCTGCTGCTGCTGCTGCAGTCTCTGCTCTGAGCTACTGGCAACCAGGCGTCAGGGTTGCTCTGGCTGTTGACCGTCTGGTGACAAGTGTTGCAATGCAAAAGCTGAACACATCCGTGGAGGAGAGGCTGCGCTGGCAGCATCACCTGTAAGGAGCAGAGAGGAAGAAGCTTCCCGAGGCATTCGGCAGCAGACAGCCGAAGCTCCAGGCATCCACACCTCCTCCCAGTGTCTCCATCCCCAATTGCTTCGGATCTCTTTTTAAGAGAGGAGAGGAAAACGGATCCAGAAAACCCCTGCAACAGGACAGCCCCTGCTGGAGTCTAACAGGTGTTTGCTGGGATTTGAATGGGGAGGGGATGGGTGGGGAGAAAAGTTAACTGGAGAAATTGGGGCTAGGAGAGATGCAATGATCTTGCACCAAGTGGATGTGCTGTGTCTGCACGTGAATAGCGCGTCTGGAGGAGCTCAGAGGGATGTCTTGCAAGTGATCTGCTCCATCTCCGCAGAAACGCTCGCCTCTGCCTGCAAACTTTCCCCTGCCAGAAGTTGGGAGGAATAAAAACCCATCAGAGAATCAAAAGGGGAAGATCTCAGCAGACCAAAACGCTCGAGCTGAACTGTTGCATCCCGACCCAGGGCTCTGGTGCAAGCGTCCCGCCGGTGTCTCCTGGGCTCCCAAACCCATTGGCGGTGGGTGGCATTGGCCGAGGTGCCCGGCAGTGTCCCCCGCATTGGGGACGGGCCGAGCAGCATGCTGGCTGCGGTGCCCGCGGCCGGCGAGCAAACCCCGTGTGCCTGACCTGCCGGTGGTGCCGGGGCGGTGGCGGCCATGGCTGCAGCCATCGCCAGCTCCCTGATCCGCCAGAAGAGACAAGCCAGGGAGCGGGAGAAGTCCAATGCCTGTAAGTGTGTCAACAGCCCCAGCAAGAGCAAGGGAAGCTGCGACAAGAACAAGTTGAATGTGTTTTCCAGGGTCAAACTCTTTGGCTCCAAGAAAAGGCGAAGGCGGCGACCAGGTTGGCAAGGGTTATGTCTTTGGGGGGTTGGTTTGTTTAATTTAATGCAAACTGGGATGTGCATCAGGCATGGGGAAAGGGGGGATCAGTGCCTCAGGGCTGGTAAAATGAATGTGCAGGTGTTGCCCCTCCTGGCTTGTATGATCTGACAGACTTGGGTACCCCATGACAGCCCCTTCCCCTTCCGTGTTCTTGTGGTTTGTTTGGATACCACACACCATTGCTTTCTGCCCGACTGGCGCACCCGTGTCCTGGTAATTCACTAGTCTGTCTCTCTGTTACACATACACATATACGAACACACGTGATTTGTTTGTAGGGGAGATGTTTGCAGGGGAAGTTCTCACACATACACCTCCTTCGCTTGTGTGTTAAGTAACTGAGCAGTCTGGAGATGTGTTTTTGTCTTCCTGCTTCACAGAATGCCTGTGCCCTGCTTTATGTGCTGATTGCAGACAAGGCTTTTTGCTTTCGCTGGCACCTTCCAGAGTTTTGCCTCAGCACCCTCTTCCTTTCTAGGAATCTCATACATGCAGCTGCCCTGCAGAGACGATGCTCCCTGTGTCGGAGGTGTAAAAGATCAGGCATTAAGATTCAGTTCCTGATCTGACTGGGGGGTTTTGTACATGGGAGGAGCAAAACCCTCTGGTTGTGTTGCTATCACTTTGCTGTGCTGAAACATTGATGCTGTTGGCCACTTAACCTGTCTGCCTTTCTCAGCAGCCACAGAAAAGGTGCCTCACACGCAGTTTGCAAACAGCTTTGGGATGTATTATGGCTAAAAGGCCAAAGTGGGGGCTGGATTAATTTCTTGTCAGAAAAGTTGGTAGATAAGAATTGTGCATCCATCAGTACCCTTATTAAAGGTTGCTAATAGAAACTAATATGCAAACTACTGTGAGCTTTTGCCTTCAGCTCCTACTAAAACGAAGTGCAGTAGCAGAGCTCCCTAATGTCTTTGATTACAAACACAAGGAGTCTTATCCAGGCATTGACTGTTGGAAATGACAGATCAGATCTTCACAGTATGTTTATCTCTGAATTAAGTAAGTTGTTGTGGAGTGAGCTGGGGAGATGCATCACCTCCTGACAAGCATAATTGTGTGAGATGACTACAATGCAGATGTCATTTGGATTCAGTGGAAGTAGACCTTTTTTGCAATTACTCCTGGTGCATTACCTAGATATCTTAAATGACAGACTTGACGGCAGATCCTGTTGCTATTTACTTTTTGGTCTAGAATGATACGAAACCATGTAAGATACCTCGCTTTTTAACTGTGAACCTGAGGATGGTTATGAAAAAAGAAATCTATCCAAACTGTGCGTTGTTTTGATCTTTCCTCTTCTAGCTGATGAGGTAATTACCTCAACCCATATGGTAATATTTATTTTGCAGTTCCACACATTGCTGGATTTCAGGGTTCCCCCCTCCATTTTCCATATGTTCATTGAGTACTTTATCACTTTGAATGCTCTGTGCTCCTTGGAGCAGCAAGGAATGGGGGTTTGTTTATTAGAGCTGCAGCAGTTCCTGTGCTAAATGTTTGCTGCTATATGTTTAGGCTATCAACTGTCACTGTGGCTCTTATTAGCACTATGGTAGTAGTCCTCTTTTTCCTCTCCATTTAAGCACTCACACCTTTTCAAAAGGCGGAATATGCTCTTTGCCAGCTCATTTCTAATCTTGAAGGAGATAGGGCTGAGCTCCTGAGACCAAGCAGCACACTGTTGGAATTTGGATTCACTGGAAGCAGATTTTACTGTGCTACCTACGTTACAACCAAGAGTGGCATTTAATCATTTTGGTAATTCATTTCAGAGACATAAATTTGATCTCAGCCTAAATGAGAAGTGTTGCAAAGCTGGTTGCTCTGCTTTTGTTTTGGGTCTTTTTCGTATCTCAGCCTTGAGAAGAAACCAAGAGATTTGGTTTTAACATCCTGCTCACTTGGAACAGCACATCAGGATTTCCCACATTAATCTCACTGTTGTTTTTTTTACAGAGCCTCAGCTTAAAGGTATAGTAACAAAGCTATACAGCAGGCAAGGATACCACTTGCAGTTGCAAGCAGATGGAACAATTGATGGAACAAAAGAGGAGGACAGTAGTTATAGTAAGTGACATGAGAATAAATGGTGTGTTTGTGAATTGTGGTGTCTCGTTCTTCCCGTATAGGTCCACTGAAAATTGTTGTCCTGGGATGACTGAGCGCGCGGAAGCGGCATTAACGCTGCTCAGAGCACGGAAGTCTTTCAGACTTACTGCGTCTGAGAGAAATGCAAATAAAAATCACTTCTAGAAATAATGAACTAGAGGAGGTAATGATGACACATATGACAAACAAAGCAAATGTTATCTCCATGGTAATCTAGAGAAGTTCATTGCTGTCCTTTGGATTTTTATTAGATGTTTTTTTTCAACAGGGAAAATTTGCTCGCCTACTCAGAGTGCCTGAAATAGAAAAACACTATCTCCGCTCTTAAACAGGGGCTCATTCAGACAGAACTGTGTTATTTCACACAATGAAAGTTCATCGTGATTTTAAAGTTCTCATTTCCCTATTATTATGTTTTGTACCTCTCCTAAACTTAATTATACCTTCAGCATTCTGTGAAGAAGCTTTGCATTTTTTGTTTGGTTTATTTTTTTACAAGTTTGAGAATTAATAGAAAGCAGGAAAAGTTTACTAGAGCATAGATTTGGTGTGTGTAAATAAAATATGTAAGTGCTCCACGTAGTTTTACTGTTTAGCTTAAACTACGTTTCAGTTCTGAAAGGAGGAGTTCAGAAGAGCAAGGAGGTGGAGAAGGTATTTCAGACCACTTTAGTCAACAAACCAGAAAATCAACAGGCAGACCTTCCTTTTTAATTATTAAAAGGCACAGATTTAAGTACTGTCCTTTTAATATAAAAACCATTTGCAGGTGCAACATCATTTCATTTTGCAGGGCACTTGAATACGGCAGAGTAAGCACTAGATGCAATCGGAAATATCTCGCCTTGTTTGTCCAATCACTTGCTCCCGCACCCTCTTTAATCCTTTTTGCATCCCTGTATTAACTTCTGAGTGGTGGGAGAGAACCAGTTAGGCTGCTGGAGATCTTCTCTGCAGCCACTGAAGGTGCTGGCCTCAGGGCAGAGCCCAAGTGTAGGATCTGTAGGGACTCCTGAGGTCCGGCTCCAGGTCCTGTCCTCACCCATGGAGAAGGTGGCACAAAGACCAGATCGGTGTGATGCTCAGTGGCTGCTGCCATCTTACTGAGTTTTCCTCAGTGCAGCCACAAAATCTACTGTAAGAATGATGCTTATGGACCTTAAACACTGTTTTTCTTTCAAGTGAAAGATCTAATATTTATGATTTTAAAAATCAGTACAGGTTGTTCAGGATTTCAGAGTAATTCTGTTAATTATCTTTATAAAACAAGTAATAGGCAAACCTTACTTTTTACATCAAAGCATGATATTGTTCTAAACTTTTAATGTACCAGAGTAAATACCTGAAATTCCATCTTTTTTTTTTCAAGTGGTTGTTTCATTCAAATACTTCCCTTGCAGTTCCTCTAATAGGGATTCTGCGATTCAAAAGAAGATAAAATTTATGGGAATCTGTCCTTTTGACATTCATACAAATATGTTTGTTTCTAAGATAACTTTGTTTTCACTGTGTCCTCAAATTTACCATAACTTGATAGATAACAAAGCAAATCATAAAAACTCCTTGCTGCTGGATACCTTCCAAGATGTTGAATACTTAAATATAATGGAAGTACCCCAGAAATGGTTGCAGCTGGGTTGCAGCATCAGAACAGAGGAGGGTTTTTATCATAAAAAATACATGGTTTTGTATATATTATTCTTTTATGTAAGGTAAATGTGTAGACCTGAATGTTCTGCAGTCCTGAATTTATTTTAATTGCAATATTTTTAATGGAGCTAGTGAGAGAGGCTGATTTATTCTGTGGATCAGGGTCCACATAAGGGGCTTCCCTCAAGGCCTTGCTAACGTGAATATTAAGCAGATCAGGTTCTCTAAAATAATTTTTTCCAATATCTGCTGAGATATCTCTCATTTAGCCCATATTCCTGCACAGTGGGGAAGCCACAGGAGTTGTAGCCCCCTTCAAATGCAGGAGGACCCCTTCTTCATTCCCTTCTCCTCTCCTTTGCACTCCTGAGGGATATCATTGCTGTTCCCTTTGCTGAACATTTGCTTTGTCTTCACTGTGATAATAAAAATGTCCCTTAACAATAAGGGGAACATCCTCAAAGGCAGCTGTGGCCAGTGAAGCGGTTGCACAGCGCTAGGACTCTGCAACTGCATTTTTTGAAGCAAACTGTAGCCATAGTCCACCTGGTCTCCAGACAGCACTGGTCAGCCTTGTTTACATTTCAGAATTTTTCTTCCCTTTCTATGGTGGGGACAGAGAGAGCTTATGGCCCCTGATAGCCAGCTGCTGTTTTGTGCTCCTGTCAGCATCCCAGGGCCAGGAGTCTGCCTTCTCCATCATTTTCTACCTACAGCTGGATGGCAATTTTGCCTGAAGATCCCCTTTGGTTCCTGGCTTGGGAGCAATTATTTCAAACTCTGCAGACCCACTGCTGTAGGCAGGGTTCACAAAACCAAAGTTGTACCCACGACTGCAGGGAGTTTAAAAGAAAGCTGAGATTTTGGAGCACAGTTTAGGCAGGAAGTGAAACATGGAGCGTAGAACTCACCAGACCTCTTTTAGCCAAGAGTCTATGTAATTTGAGGAACTGCCTTGTGGAAAGGATTTCCTGGCTCAGAAACAGATTTTGCCTCATTAAATGTGTTAAATAGGGCAAGATTTTAAATCAAGGCAGAATTTATCCCACAATTTTGGCAAGACAAAAAGATTTGAGGACTGATAAAATAAGGAAATACAGAAAATGATATCCTGCAGAAAGCATATGAAGGTCCAGGTGGTCAAGCCAAGGATGGCACAGACCTCACAGTAATGTATACATTCATAAATCTAGCCGTGGCCCACTGCCTCCTAATTTACAGCTCTAATTCTTTGTCAGCTTGTGTTGCACAAGGGCTGTAGCAAAGATATCTCTCTCTTAGACATCACCAAGTTTTTCGTTACGTTGGATATTGTGCCCTTTAAACAGCAGAGATGTAATTGGGAAAGGCTAGGATGCAAATAACTTTGCATTATCTCATGCAAACTCAAACTGCTTGTAGTAGCAAACAATTTATTTTCCTGTGGCTTTTTTTTTTCACCCCTTCTGCCATATCTGCCCACATGAGGGTCCACCACTAGAAATGTGATAGCATCTCAAACCCACTGTCCATGGCACTGGGGGCTTGCAGAGAAGGGGATTGTGTGGTTCTGCTGTTGGTCCCACCAGCATTCCCTGGTCATGGACAGGCCACTCGCTGTCACAGAAGCTGAACTTGGACTTGCTGCTGTGCAAGGACGGTGGGAGAATGGGACAATTGAATAAATGGGACAGTCCCTGTTCTTGGTGCAGTGCCAATGTCTGCTTGCCTTGGAGGCAGCAGCTGGGGCAGCCTGGCTGTGTGTCTGGCTGTGCTGGCACAGGACAGATGGACTGGACACCCCTGGACAGCCGGTCCCTCTCCAGAGCCAGTGTTACTCCCCCACTTCCCATAGCCTGTGCCACAGCAGCTGCTAATCCCACTGACATCTAAACCAGCTTCTGAGTGTGCCCAACCCCTCATTTTGCCTCATATTAGACATGTACGTTTATGGCAGGAAAACATGTTCAGCTGCTGAGGGAAGCAGCTGAGCACCCATCGCAGTGGGTGCCCCAGCACTCCCCTGGCAGAAGCTCAACCTCGTATCTCTGCTCACTTGGCCAAGCACAGCGCATCCAGGAATCACTCACGAAAACCCATCTCTGTGCCCTGTGGCTGTGAGTTATATCTTCTGCATGCTCCCAGGCTTTGCCCTGTCCTTGGCTGATCTACTCACAGGTTCGTAGCACTATTTACAGTGAAGCCTGTACTCATACCCTTGTGCTGAAAATACCCAAACCCTTCCCCTACCCCTAAATATGCTGTTAAGAAAACACCTTTCAAGGGAGACCTCCAGGTTCTGCCTGGATACTGAGCTTTAAATTGTGCTCTCCTGCCTACACTGAGATCAGATGCTATTTTTTGGGGTTGAACTGCAAAAGAGGGCTCTGCAAGGGAATATTTACTGAGTCAGACAGGGAACGTGTTCTCCCACAAATAATTTCAAACATTTGGTAGAATGAATGAGAAATCCATTTCGTTACTGAAAATCGAGGTTTTTGCTGAAAACTGTGCAGAACTAGAGGATTTTGTTTTAGTGGGGAGAAAACTGTTTCTCTTGGTTTTGTGCTTGCAGGTGAGCGTGCGGTGGGGCTGCGTATGTGTGTGTGTTTGTGTCTGCATGCACGCTCATGTGTATGAGAGGGAAAGAAAAACATCAGTACAATTTTGTGATCTCCTCCATTTATTTGTTAATTCTGGCTATTTCCACCTGCTCCGTTATATTCAACCATTGTAGGAAAATCAATGTTCAAAGGTGCTCCAGCTCCCACAGCAGAGCACCCGTGGTTGTAGTGTCCCCATGCAGTGGGGCAGGCTCAGCCCAGCTCTGAGCGTGTCCCCCCCAGTGCCCATTGCATCCCCTCTTCACCGGGCTGAGACCTCCAGGTTAACCTGGGAGCTGGAGATCCAGCTGCCTGCTGGAACAGAGTCTGTTTTCACCCAAATTTAGTCTTTTGTCCCCAGTGCAGAGGGTTAACTTCTGGCCATGCCTTTATCAAAATCAGACCTGCGTACGTTTACTCTCTCCCGTTTTGATACACTCTTGACAACCCCACACCCCAAATTTAGGATCTATATAAGTTGCAAATTTTCTTTTAATTAAATATGACCATTTGGGTGTTGTCAGGCTGAAAAAACAATTTTATAATGGGTCATAATTCTTAGCTTATAATTTTGAAAATAATAAAAATATTTCAAACTCATAATTCAGCTTTAAATTGGCTTCACACAGTGACCATAAATATCAAACTTCAGCCTGAAGCAGACCAGAGTTTTCCAGCCAAGTAATAAACCATTGGAAATAAGACCAAATTTGGCATTACTTCATCCTATCTCTGCATTTATGCAACAGACTGGAAGGAGAGGCTTTGGGTTACGATAACAGTTCTTGAAAATGTTCTTAACTCCCCTTTATTTTTCAGCCTACGTATTGAACACAGAGTACTACTGTATTCAACTCGCTGTTACTTGTGTTCAATTTTAACAGGGCTGTGAATCTCAGCTATGGCAGAGCTTTGCTTCTTTTTTCTTTTTCTTTTTCTTTTTTTAATTTGCCACTTTACAAACCGGAATCTTCATTTTTTGAAGAGTTGTTTCTCTGCTTATAAATACTGCCACTGTTAGCGTGTAAACAAGCATAAATGCGAGCAGAACATTCGAAGCAGCTCAATTTTGAAAGCAGAGATTTAAGGCTTGATCTAAAGAATAAGCTATAATTTCATTTCATTTTGAGTTATTTAACTCTGTTTTTTCAAACCCATTCTCCTCTCAAAAAGATAAAAAGAATGAGATTTGAGTGGAAACATTTTGAGATGTTAATGAAGGTTTTTAGCATTTCTGAATTTCATCTTACTCCTTCCTTTTGGTCAAAAATGTTTACTGCACTTAATTTGAGATTATTTGTAAAAAAAAAAAAAAAAGTTTTTATCATCTTGAAAAACTTTTTATTTGGTTTTGGATTTTTTTTGGACTTATTGTAAGGGGGAAAAAAACCCCAAACAAATTAAATATATTCAACTCTACTCAGCAGACCCTGGATTCTGCTCATGAGACAGGTAAGTCATTTTAGCTCTCAGTACCTTTAATTCATCATCTTCAGAATGGGGGAGATTCGTTGATACCCTCTGTAGATAATTTCTGAGCTGCTGGTGGAAATTGCTATAGAAGACCACAATAGTAGCAGTATTCTTCTGTAGCACCCACAGAAATTAATATATGCATGAATGGACATTATTTATTTGGTTCTGGTAGTTATGGCTTAATTCTCTATCTAATCTGCATACTCTAAAGGATTAATTTTGTTCTCCATCTCCTTTCTCTCCTAGCTTTGTTTAACCTCATACCTGTGGGTTTACGAGTGGTGGCGATTCAGGGGGTTCAAACAAAATTGTATCTGGCAATGAACAGTGAAGGATACCTATATACATCAGTAAGTAAACATTTTTCATTTTCTCCTCATTGAAATGAGTAAAAGCAAGAACTTCATAAATGAATATTTTACTGTTCCAAGGAATCTGCTTCTAACCTATAAACATGAGATTTGACAGCAAATTCAGTGGTGACAGTCTGGTTTTAGCTTATTACTCTGTTTCCATTATGAATACATATGGATGTATGGAATCAAACTGTGGTGCTTTTGATGCAAAACTCATGATCCTGAAGTGTGAAATAAATAAAAAAATAATAATTTTTAAAAAACCACAAGCAAAATCCCAAAGAGAAAGGATGCTCTGTCATGGTCACTGTGGACTGATGGGGCTAATCAGTGCAGGGTACAGAGGAAAAGGGACAGCTTTGTGAATCACACGCTTGCCTGAACACATTTTATATCTTCCCATATAATCTCTATTACTGTTATTAAAAGGGATTAGAGAAAGTATTTTTTGTTGTTGTTGTTGGGCCAGGATTTTCAACTAGAAGTGGAATTAGGTGCCAAAATCTTAGGGCTTCAAGTTGCTGAGTGAGTAAAGGAATGTTTTATTAGCAGTTTTGATGAAGAATGTCAGTTAATAATTTTCAGTGGCATTTCTCAAGAGACCAAACAGTGTTTTTATGAAAAAAAAAAAAAAAAAAAAATAGACCATTTTTAGAAATAGACTGTTTTTTCAGTTAAAAACATTTAGTTGAACTATGTTCAGGAGTTTTAATTATAAAGTCCTAATAGATTTTTCCCAAGGAGGAAAACAGAGCAAAATGTAATTTATTATCTACTACAAATTATTCTCTTCTATGAATGATTCCCTTAAGGTGCCTTTAATACTGATAACAATTAAGTAAACTTATTAAAATCTCTCATTTGTTTTGCAATCCTGACAGCTGGGACAAGGGGCAGCTTTGCATATTTTTCTTCTTCTATCTACCAGAGCAAAAGCAAATTAGAACTGGCTCTGCTCTGGGACAAAGTGAAATTTCAGTGAACGGCATCGAACTCCGCTCTTCTTTTTGCTCTGGCTGTTTGCTTAGTGGGATTAATCCCCAGATCTGTTGGCAGGGCTGGAACCACACAGCCAGATAGTGCAAAGGCCCCTTAATCCCGTGTAGTCACCGTCCTGTGACCGCACGGTGGCATTTACATTTGCACTGCAAACGTACCTTTGACTGCACCGTGCGTTTTCATTTACGTTGGCATCCTCAGCTGCACTCCTTTCTGGCTGCCCACTCGCTGCATCATGTGGGCTTCTGCAGGCTCAATTCTGCTTCAGGGAGCGCTATCTCTTGAGTCACATCTCAAGGAGAGAGAGAGAGGTTTGTACATCAAGCAAATTTCCATCAGCACGCATAACAAATATGCTTGATTTGAATAAACCACAACACCTACTCAACCAGGACAGTAGGTCAGTTCTTTCGTTGCAAGATACATTCTATAAAAATCGGGTATATTTTTGCAAAAGTGCAAAAATTCCTGTGAAGATGCAGAAAATGGGATGAGGGCAGATTCAACCACTGCTAACCTACAACAGAGCAGTAACTTCTCATTTGTGAGCTGTAGCCCGGAAGTCAAAGGGACCACTGAGAGAATGAAGTATCACTTCTAGTGTTGCTCGATGCGTGGAGGAGTGGCAGAATATAACATTTTTTTTAAGTCCAGCTTTAGTTTGGTAGGTATCTACATGTCTTAGGCAGAGCTCAGAGATTTACTTTGCTTCTAGTTCCTGGTGTTTGCATTGATTAGAGATAGTTCTTCATGTGCTCTCATATGTTACCATGAATAGTGTCTTCCTTGAATCCTTTAGTGTCTGTGAATTTAATAGTTCGTGCTATTGCAAAATTAACTGATGACATCCCTCTATTTTCCCCTTAGTAACAATGGTTATTTTTGTTTCTCTATAAGGTAGCTATATTTTCTTACATTTATTCTTTTATACTTCTTGGACCTGATGGGCTTGGCAAGACCTTAAACAGACTTTTGTTGTGTTGTTGTGTCCCAAATTCATATTTTTAAATACTCTTCACAGAGACAGGTGTCCATCTAATATTGATCTACTTTCCCAAAGCAAGTTTCCACCCAAGTTCTCAATAATCTTGGGTTTATCACCTGGTGCCTTCTGGTTTGGCTGTTTTGTGCCTTATAATAATTGCAAGAAACTGTCGTGATGGGCAAAATGTAGCTCATGTCTCTGTCGATGCACCCAGGGAATGGAAAAGGGCTGGTGAGGAGCATCTGCCCCTACTTCGCCTGCTATGCAAAAAGTTGGCCAGAATTGCAGTTCCAGCACCATGTTTTAAGTGTTTCTAGCTCTTATTTTGCCCATAATGGTCCTTTCAGCAAGGGATACAGTCTGACAGTCTGATACATGGGAAATTAGCTCTCTATTTTGGACTGGATTCTTGGTTGATGTAAATGAGTCCCAAGAGAGCTCAGCTCATTTTTACCAGATGAACACTCACCTGTTCAATGGATGCCAACAGGGAGTCTGGGGAACAGATCAGCTCAAGTAAATGACATCCGTCTACACATCCTGAGGGTTTCCAAGCCCTTACAGGGATGTGTTCCTGATGGGATTTGTCAGGAGCAGACAGATGGCAACATGGGATTGATCAGGAGCAAAAGCCTCACAAAACACTGTCAAATTCCTGAAGCAAGAATATAGGGAAAAATAGAAATATGCTTAAATTGTAGATAACTATAACAGATAGTTGCACCATTTCCAGAGAGAAATGAAATTAGCATTGATGATGCAATGTAATAGGCAGAGAGAATATTGTGGTCTATGTCATGATTGCTGGCTTTCGGTTTTATTGCGGCTCCAGTGCTCCAGTCATGCTTGTGTCTGTGCAGAACCATTGCCTTCAGATTGCATTGCCAAAGGTTATAGATGCATTTGGTAAACGGCTTGAAAAACACCCTACTAATGTGCTGTGCCTGTTCCTCACCCCGTGCTCCTGTCTGTGCCTTGCACCCGATAGCACCTTTTGTCCTGAAATGTTTCCAAAACACTGTGCCTGATAAAGGGGCTGTTAAGTCCACACCAATTACCCCACTGGTAAAGAGGTAAATAAGACATCTGGCTTAGGGGAGGATAAGTGGAGGCTCAGCTAAGTGCTTTCCCACACTCACACAGGAAAGCACATTAGGGCTAACACACCAGGTGTCCCGTTTCCATGCATCTTGCATTAATTTGCAATATTAAATCACAGTTCCTTTTCATTTCAGTGATTGTGATGAATTCTTGTGTTTTGTTCCTTGTGGTTTATTTCTTGGGCTGTGCAGCAACAGATTGACTTAGTTGATTCTGAGTGTCCTGCATACATAGAAAATATGCCCTGGCCACAATCCATTACAGTTGTTGGCAGGTGGAGAATATCTGTGGATCCAGTTTGCAGATTTGTTGAGCTCTGGCTTTGGTCTTGCCTCTTCCTCCCTAGCAGTCTGCTGGGGTGGAGATTCAGGTATCTGACCTCAAAGGTAGTGTGCAGTCTGGTTTGCTTCTGATCCAGTGGCTGTACTCAAGAACACGGTGAATTTGCTCCATGAGGGGGTCGGTGATGTGTAATGAACCTGCAGAGAACAGATATCTGTAGTGGGCTGACAGAATTTATATAGATAGTTTGTGGTGTCTTGTCAATTAGAGCAAAAATAAGATCTTTAATGTAACGATAAAAGCTCCTCGGGAACAAGGCAGCAACTCAGCTAAGCAAAAAATATATATATTATGTTAAAATAAATATATAATTATCTACATTTGTTATAGAAGTGCATTAAAAGTCCTGGATGACAGAGAAGGGGAGTGACCCTGGTCCTCCCCGCAGCCAGCCGTCCAGCCACGGCTCGCCCGCTCTGAGCAACGCGTGCCTCCTCTCCATGCTGAGGGGAAAATACGTCTTCGTATCATAGAACACCACCACATTTGAAATGGTTTTTTTAAATTATTTTTAGCCAATTTCCTATCAAAGTTGAAGGGTGCTGTGTGACTACATGTCCCAAGCTTACCCAGCCACATAATTTTATTTGGAGGGACCTTGTCAGGAGCTTTTTGAAGCTGTAGCTCTTCCTGCTGTTTGATGCTTGAGCATCAATGTAAAATGAAAACACAGGGTTTGATTCATCCCTTCTTACACCAGTGTCATGCTGCTGCAAGATGACTTACAACAGTGTTATGGCACTGCTGTCTTATATAACCTCATCATGAATCATGCCCTTTTGTATTTTAGGATAGCTTTTATTTTATCTTATTTTTCTTTCTATGAATGACTACATCTTTCAGGTGACCACCATGTATGCCACACTTGAGTTTTTCCACTTTCATACCCTATGAGTTCCTTGTATTCTTTCATTGTCTTGAACAAAAGAGTGAAAAATACTTTCAGGATCAGTTTGTCAGACATGTAGTCCTATTGCTTTCTCATTAAAGCGATTGTGATGTGACAGAGGAGGGTCACAGTGATGCAGAGCAGCAGCTGAGTGAAGTCCATTAAAGGGAAGGGATGTATGTAGGTGAAGAGAATGGGTCTGCTGCTTGAATTCTACATAGGCTGAAACATAACCCAAAATACAGCAAATTTTTAAAAAACAGCCAGAGAACATCTAGTTGTGTATTGTCCATGAACCATCATGTCAGAGTTTTTCAAATCATTTAATGATTACCAGTGAAATACATATTTCTCCTATAGAACATTTCAGCCCATATAGTTGTGTGCTGGTTTAGCCTGGATACATTGTCAGAAACAGTAAAATTAAATAGATGCTGCTCATTGCATCCTTCTGGCTGGTCAGGAGCCACACAACTCAACTTACAGAGAGTGTCTATTTTCCATCTTGTCTTGTTCTGGGTTCCACATTTGACTTAATAGTGTCATATGCGAGTAAGCTTATTTAATAGTGTCAAATCCCAGGTTGGATAGAGCTTTAGTCTAAGAGTAGCTATTTGCCCTGACTACGTGTGGTAGAGCCCAGTTTGTCCCTCTCTTCTGCAGCCTTTCAACTCATCT